CCTTGTCTATGATGAGTCTGTTCTTGCCATCTAATGCTACTGAAGCAATACGGTTTGGAGTGGTTGAAGCGATAAGAAGACGCTGTGAAGAAGGCATGAAGACCAGCGCCTTGACATCGCGTTGCTGCAGATGAGGGTGTTTCTCCACTGATGCAGTTTGCAGGAACAGCTGGGATAGAGTGCCCTCAGAATGAGATATCAGCAACATACGTGCTTGTATTTCAGGGATCCTTGCTTTCATGCTGCCACTGCCTTGAGGTAGAAATAGAAAATACAACCGTGGAGTTTTTGGTTTGTGTGAATTAGTAAATAAAATAGAATTAGTTACTGGTAGTTCAGAAAGACATGTGATACAAGCGTTGTGTTTCAAGAGGCGTCATCAAGGTTCTGAACAATTTGTCAACATACGGTAGGATTTTGTCAAATCGGAGATAAACATCCAGAGTGTTACTAAAAGAATATTGATATTGACGAGTCGTCATAACATGTACACAAAATGATTTAAAGTAAATAACTTAAAGTTAAGGTTAAAAAACCAGTTTAATCACACAATTGGATCACTATAACATTGGTCCTCGTATGACCAAAGGCGACAGACACACTGGCCAGCTGACCCTTCCCCTATGATAGCGAGTTCAGAAACATACATAGTGTTTTCAAGTGTAAGTTTACTAATTAGTAAAACACTGTGTGCTACACAAGCAATCAAAAGCATAGACCAATATCAACGACCACATTTGCCAACAAAATTGAATAATGTTTTACCTTTGATATAATACTTCACATTCATTTTCGTCTTCTTTGGTGATATGCTTCTGACGACCACAGTGTTATACAGGTGGCACATCTTAGCTCTTTTCTTGAAGAAGAATGATTTACAACTGGGATCTTTGGCACACTTTATCCCACAACCAACTTTACTGGGACATGGTGAAGACTTGAAAATTTCAGAGGCAGATATCTTCGTTTGGAATTTGAGATTGAATGAGGCTACAGGGAGCTGCTCGCTTTGGGACAACATACCTTGTAGAGACACCATCAATGGTAGGATAGTGAAAAAGCACATCAGCATAGTGACAAACTTACAAGAAGACATGGTTGTCTCCGACTCCTGACCACAGATGGTATGATTTTCAAGTCCGTGGTATGTATGTTAGACAGTATCACGTGAAGCCTCAAAGGAAATCGTCCTCCTTTAACAATCATAAATACATTCTAAATCCACATGCACAGAAGAATTGTCTCAATTACAAGAAACGAAGCTGAAGCAAAACGGCGTGTCTTTTCCTTTAGCATCATGTACATCGTATCTCGAACTATTTCTGTACTTTACATGTTCTTCCTTATGTGGTGCTTGGTTATTTAAATGTAACTTTGACATAATATTTCAGTTAACCTACAGTTAGAATAGGGTTGAAAGGAATCCATTCAAGCCAAATGTCATTTCTGCGGATATGATGGACATTTTATGTTTTCTTTCTCTTTCATTTGCCATTTTGCAAGAATCATGGGTTATTTTGAAGACCAGCATTTAGTATTTATTACACCCTAGTCACTAGTGCTGCATAACTGGAGTCCATGAAAATCCGGGTTAGAATTTGTCTTCAGTAACCCATGCTTGTCTCAAGATGTGACTAACGGGATCGGGTGGTCAAGCTCACTGACTTGGTTGTCACATGTCATCGTATCCCACCTGCGTAGGTGGATGATATCGATGTTGATCACTGGAGTGGCAAGTGCAGACTCGATTAATTACAGTGAGTCAGTGAGTGGGTTAATATTTAACGTCACATCGGCAATATCTCAGTCATATCGTGACGAAACCAATCTATACAATAAAAAGTGAAATGAGAACATTTGACATTGAAATGGAATATATGTACGTTATACTAACCTGTCGACGAAGGACAGTAAAACAACTAGAATATCACAATTACAACTAAAACAAGTTAGGAGAGTTAAAACCGATAGCAGTATTTGGACAATACAATATAAAAACAGGCTGTAGATCGCCGATTATTTACAGACCGCCGACACATAGCTGGAATATTGCTGAGAGCTTCGTTATGCAACAAACAAACATCCTATGTGAGCATGTGCAAGGAACAACATATATTGTGATTAATTTTGTGAATTTAGTAGACATGTCAACCTGTCTACAACTCAAACAGTCTCTTTATTCAGATGGGTTCTCATTTAGTCATCAGTAGTGTAAGAGAAAGAAAATTAACTAAGAATTGTTTATGTCTAAAGTCTTTTACTGATGGAACTTGGTTGGATATGACAATTGACAATATTCATCTGCATACTGTTTGTTTTTTAACTGTATCAACACAATAAATGTTAACTGTCATCAGCTAACTCTAGAGCACTTTCTGACAGCGAACATAGCAATGCTTACGAATTAGTTCGTTCATCGCAGTTTTCATTTTACAACAAAGATGTACATGTGAAATGTGTCAGGCAGGATACTTACATTTGATTAATATGTTTTCTTCCAAGAAAAATACAAAAGAAACAAGTCGTCAGTCACTCCTTGTCCCATATCTGAATATATCATTCTTCCTACTCAGCAATATTCCAGCTTTATGGCGGCGGTCTGTAAATAATCGAGTCTGGACCAGACAATCCATTGATCAACAGCATGAGCATCAATCTGCGCAATTGGGAACTGATGTCATGTGTCCACCAAGTCACCGTGTTGCAATAAATGACTGAGTAAAAGATAAAGTCATCAGAAACGTGTACCCCATTTTTTTAAAGCAAAAGTATTTGTACTTATATCATAATTGCGAGAACAGTTTCTGTTTACTCACCTTAGCCATTTTGCATATTCCACTGACAACCACGTGACCTGTTCACTCGTCACGTAATATGTGACTAAGTTGAGTTGAGTTGAGCTGGGTTTTACGTCACATCGGCATGAATCCAGCCATATAGTGACGGGATCAAACAAGTGCTACAGAATGTAAACCGCTTTTGTCTGTCGTTTTTTAATGGTAAAATGATGAATTGTATTGTATTGGGATGCAATAGAAATGGAAAGGGACACATATCTTCTGTTTTCCAAGTGAAAAGTCAGCTTTAGAAAGGCTTGAACTTACAGGCGTCAATTGCATTTCCCCTTTCGCTCTGCGCAGGCTTTACAATTTGCAAACTGGCATAAAATATAAACTACAGTGCGTCCTATATGTGCGCCTATCCGACAGAAACAAATCTTTATAAACAGTAACAGAATTATTTTACAGAATTATTACGAAATCAGTGTAGCCAAAGGTCCCAATACAGGATCCAAATGTTGAGTGCCCATCTCACGCCTCTCCATTTATTGAAGGCGGAATTATTCTAATTACTTATAGTTATGTTAATTACGAATTTGAATTGTAAATTTTAATTAAAAAGCAAACTTTTGAAACGTTCAACTAAGTTTGGACGTAGTTTATTTCTGTGTATTTTTACCGACCTCTCATGGAAACAATCATGAAGATCGGTTCATTAGATAAATACAGATCACAAACAACACTGTATAACTAATCAACTAGAAGAATGCCACGAACCCGACATGATCCCGGTATTACTTTGCAGGGGAAAAATATAGTGTAACCACGAGTCGCACGAGATGAAAACACGTTCAGCATGTGGTAAAAAAGTGAGTGAGTGAGTTTAGTTTTATGCCGCACTGTAAATAATCGAGTCTGGACCAAAAAATCCAGTGATCAAGGTTAAAAGAAAAAAGTGATGTGGTGCGCATCATATCCAATCACCAATATCATGCATGTATTGAGTTTTACTAATATAGTTGTCCAATAGAACTTCAGACGCATAATACATTTTTAAGGTTATGCCATTTTCGGCTAGATGCCTTCATATTTACATTCAGGTTCAAAACAAGTTGCATCGAAGACGGGTAACAAGCAATTCGATAGTGTCTCCGCTGCACTGGATTCTTCTTCTTCATCTTCACTAGATGTTTCTCTTACATCATGTTAAAAATGACAACCGGAACATGTTTTACTGCTTCAGAATCCATGGCCACTGGCAATTTGTCCGGTACACTGGACAAAGTGGAAGAAATGGGCAATAGGCACACACGACATCATGTCACGTGATACCTGCTTCTGTTCATTAACTGCCAGGTGTTTCCCGATGTAGTAGGAAATACGAGTGCGTTTTGTATCCGTTTATTGCGATTTTACAAACTTATTATTCAGTTTCAATGTTGGAAGGTGACTTTTAGAATGCTTTTGCCCATACACAAATGGCGTTTGTATCAGAACCGTAATCTAAATTCGTGCATAACCTTGATTCGGGGATCGCAGTGATTATCATGCTAACTCGTAAATTAAGTCTCGTATGAAGTCACGAAGCGGTACTTTTGATGTACACACAATGCCAAGCCCCGCTGATAAAAATTTCCGAATCTCTGCATTTAACGTAAATACACTAAATCTAATTGTTCAGCACTGAGACAAAAAGCTCAAGATCACTAATGCCACCAATATCAAATATTATTTATACAAAATGTCAAGTAAATAAGATATGTAGGCACCAACCATGTCACATCTCGTCGTCTACTTTCCTAGGTGTCAATACTTACTGCAGTGGGCTGTCGTATATAGTGAAAAAATGTAACCAACTACGTAGTCCACGAAACAAGGTGACGTCACATTTTGTTGGCACACGAATGGGTGATGATTGAATATGGCTTCGGTAAACAAACGTTTCATCCACGAGTGGAATATTAGGCATTTTCAATTTGCTGAATCATTGAATTAAATGATCAGTGAATATACAAAATGAAATCGTGCATTTAAATATGATTTTCACCGCACTTGCCTTATATCCACGAACCAAGGTTACACAATTGATTCTCATTTAAATACCTGTTAATAAAGACGACGACTGTAATACGTGTAACGTGGCAGGAAAACGAAATTGTCGCTCAGGGTTCAAAATATAAATAGACGGAAATACGAATGCGTTTTTACGTGTTTATTTCAATTCTACAAACATTTTGTTTAAATTTAATCATGGAAGGTGACTGTTAGAATGCTTTTATCCTTTCAAAAACAGCGTTAGTATTCTCATTTAAATACCCGTTAATAAAGATAGCGACTTTAATATGACAGGCAAACTGAAATTGCCGTTTTATACTTCAATTTTCGGAATGTTCAGATCTGAAATCTGATAGATGGACATTCTCCAGGGCCCTCCACATCGAGAGCCTTTATCTCCTTTGCACGGGGATCTGCAGTCTGAGTCATCCACCATTCCGTGTCCCTTGCTGACTTTATCACCACAAAAGCATTGGTCACCAATCTACAACACAAGGAAAGCAATACTAACTACACTAGACGCCAAAAGAAACGTTACCCTCCTACCTTTATGAATAACTGAAAAACTATCAAAGATATGCTAGAAGGTTTTAGTTTACAAGAAAGCTTTATGGAAATCACGAAAAGAATGTCTAAAATGCATTCATATTTTGGTGAAATGCATCTTTTTCAGAAGAGTTAAATTGTCCTATATTCGTCCATGCCGAAATCAACCAATAATAGTGATTTTGATGTTCAAAAGAAAGGTTGAAATAAAATTCTGCTTTGGGACAATGATAAACCATTTAAAGTCACCATTTTTCAACTACTATATCAAGAAACAACTGTTGTAGAGTGTGTAAAATTGTAAAATAATCATTCCTATGACTTCAGTCTCTTAAAACATTTTCTGCTGATTTGCATTAGTGAAAACAAGTAAAACGTATCTTTGATATTGTGAAAAAATATTTAGGAACATCTAAAATTATCTTTTCCATTTTCTGTTTACACATAGCAATATCAATCGCCAAAACGCAGCAATATTCAAGCAGTATTTACATCCATTTCACATGTGGAATGATTCTATAGGGAATAAAGAGAGCCTAGAATACATGATCTGATACACAAGTACGAGAAATATGCCACGATTAACACCTGAAGGGGGAGAAAGAACCACTGGGATGGTGCAGATGGGGTCGACATACAATGCCGTTGCCAACGCCCTCGGGTGCCACCGTATCATGGTTATAAGACATATCTAGGGCTTCAGACAGACTGGGGTCACCGTAGACAGACCAAGAAGTGGACGTCCACGCATCACAACGCCAGCTGAAGATAGGTACCTCCGTCCTTAAGGAAAGAGGGTAACGTTTCTTTGGCGTAGAGTGTACATGGAATGGCAAAACATTTGCTGTTGGGGCCATGTGGAAACCCAGAGTTCAAAGTTTTCACTCTTCTGGTGTTATCACTGCGTTGATTCCCCAGTTGTGTAATTGCTTGAATTTAATTTCAGTCACATGTTTTGGTATGGCACAATGGTTACTTCATCCATTTCACAAGAAACCAGCTCTATAGTGAGTGAGTGAGTGAGTGAGTGAGTTTAGTTTTACGCCGCACTCAGCAATATTCCAGCTATATGGCGGCGGTTGGTAAATAATCGAGTCTGGACCAGGCAATCAAGTGATCAACATCATGCGCATCGATCTGAGCAATTGGGAACAGATGACATGTGTCAACCACGTCAGCAAGCCTTGACCACCCGATCCCGTTAGTCGCCTCTTACAACAAGCATAGATTACTGAAAGCCAATATTCTAGCCCGGACTTTCACGGGTGCACACTATAGTATGACGTCATTTTATAACAACGTTACCACAACATCACATACGTACGTTGTGACAACGTTGTGTATTGACTAAGACAAAACGTTATGCTTCATAGTTTCTGAAACGGTGATGCTATGTAACTTGTCCCTTTTCCAAACATCGTAAGAACAAGAGCGTACATGGATATATCTGTAAGTTTTGCAGTAAACAAGACCGTACTGCAGTATTTATCTATTATATTCCACTTTGGGATTCCCATCCCATAAATATACTGAAGTCACCGTGACGTAATTTCCATTCTTTTTCACAATTCTAATATCACGTCATTGAGCAACGTTATGTCACAATGTAATAACAATATTGAAAATGTACGTTGTGTTAACATTATGCATTTGGCTCTTCACAACCTTATGATAACAACGTTTCTTATAACTTGGTGTCGCGACAGAGTTTTCTGTAAAGTTTTCTCCTTAACCAAGGTGTATACACGAAATTAACTTTCAGATTTTGCAGTTTCAGAAAACACACGACAACAACAACATGCATATGAACGAATAAACATTGAAGTGAATTGCTGCTTTGTTTCTTATGTAGTGTTCACTGCTGGGAATCAAGTCAAAAATGTTTCTACCGTGTATAGTATCCAACTTTTAAAATGCGTTAGCATCAAATAACTTTAACCACGTGGTGGTCGGATTTCCTTCGCTGACCCGACTTTTCGCGGAATCACTTTTGAACTGACACAACTCATAACTGTTAGCATTCCCTTCAGGGCGCTGTGGTTTGTACACCACTCTTCGAAGACGCGACATGATCTCAAGCTGGACAGGTTTCCTCGAATATATTGTGGTAATTTTTTCATTATGTGTTTATATTATGTTCAACTTTATTTCCGAACTGTACCCATGGAAGAATAGTCATATTTCTTTCAGAAATATCAACATCAATGATTATCTTCTTGAAACTGAAGTTCAATAACTTCATGACCGAAGCCTAACAGTTGCATATCAATCAATTGCCACATTGGTGGCCTGCAAAATATAGGAGTCCCACATCTACAGAACTTTAAAACTCTAAGCATTCCGTGTACTGTAAATATACATAGCGTCCACCCATGTAGTCGATGTGCGGAGCTTCACTACTGTAGGCCGAATCGCGAGTTCAGTTTTAGATCACCGAAGAGAGGAGGTGGGGTTCTTTTTGGTTTTACTTCAGGGGTTAACCCTTATCCCACCAAGTGGGTCATTTGAGGCCCGAAGTGCACTTTGATGGTATGCCAAAATTTCATTTCTTTATATAAATGTTCAGTATTCAATGTATTCTTGAAAATTACAATACTGATTGCTGTGAAAAAGTTTAAATTTAATTACTTTGGAATAATTACCATTAATTTTAGAAAGCAAATAGTATTGCATTAACTGCTTTGCCGGGCCTCTGAGGTCACCCCCTCAGCTTCCAGTCAACGCCACTTGATAAAGACTCCTTACAAATACATTGCATAGTAAATGCCAGTCAAACATGAATCGTCGAGCAAACGAAAAGGTAATATAACTCATATCATATGAACATGTGGAAATCAATACAAGTGCAAAACTGAATAGATAACAGGCAGCAAATTAAGTAACTGCAAGATATGTACCTCTGTTCCGAAATGGGTAAATTTGCGTTTAAGACAACACATCCTGCATTTGCCATTTGTCAGCTGGGGTACTTTACATTGGTGTGGAAGTGCACGTGTCCAGCTGTCTTTGTAACATCCAAGGTATTTGTAGGCATCTGCGAAAAAAAGTATTTTTATCAATGAAACTGCACAAGTAATTTTTAATATCAGATGTAATTATAACGTTGTGATATGACTGAACTAAAGACTATTTACTCAAAGTACCTGAACTCTTCAAAATTCACTTTAGTGAAATAGAGAAGCAAAGACATAATGGTAGTTTTGTAGGTATGTTTAAAGTCGGATTGGAGTTTTATAGTGACATCACAGCTGTGGTGATTCCCACAAAGATTCTTACCATTGCCTTGGAACATCGTAGACGTCTGTAATGCAAGGGTCACTGGCGTTCAGGTTGAACATGACTTTAAGGCAAGTTTGTTAACGACGGTTTTACTGTTAGGGAATGACGTGCTTACGCTTTGTGAACACCTGGTGTCATTACTGATTTTCATTGAACCATTCATATAATTTGCATATTTTTCTTCCTTTTACACCAAAGGGAATTGGTTTCTCAGGGAATGGGGACTCTTTTGCACTCAGGTTCTACATTTACAACTGCCATATGTGGACACGTTCCGGTTCAATGGGCCGTGCATAAATGCAATTACACCGGGAAAGTGAATATATGTGAAGGGCATAATTATGTCGTGCCTCTGGTTTCTGTGTCTTGGTTATTCAGCGCTGCACTCGGCATTTTCCCATCTATGTGGGCAATACAAGTACAATAATAGTGAAGGCCATCCTGAGCATTGGTCTACGCAATTGGGAAGCGATGACATGTGTCAAACAAGTCACCTGGTTCCGTCAACCCTCGTTACAAGCAGTGGTTGATGGAGATCTTCACAGGTATAGCACATGCTGATTTTGGGGTGTCTCAGAATGGTTGCATCGATATTAATGGAACTAACTAGGACAGAGTGTAAGTGCAAAGAAGGCATTACTTTGGTAAAGTGAGATACAAAGGCAACTTCACCAGGGGTGACACCAGAAATGGGCTGTTACACATTGAATCCATGTGGGAAATGGAACCCATGTCTTCGGCGTGACGAGTGAACGCTTAAACCACTATGCTAACCCACCACCCCGTTGCTTAAAGAAAACACATACAGTGGTTTATACGATATATATTACATATACGATGTAATAACGTAGGGGATATTTATGAATCACCAACAAATATCTTTCAAATATTTTCATCAACAAATAATATGATAATAAAAATATGTTATAATGTGAAATCTCTTGTATAGGCAATTGTTGTGGTCATGAAAGTCAAGAGTGAATCTCTTCTCATGCATGGTCCCTAATATGGTGATATACCTTCAGTTGTTGGCGACCTATAGCATGGTTTTATATTGTATTGTCTTTGTAAATAAAATAGTTTCAGATTTACATGCTAGTTTTACAACATCTGTGTTACTCTAGTTATTTTACGGTGCTTCAATGACTGGTTGTTCAACAATTCGTATTTATTGTTTACGCACATATTTTTTCGTCACTATATGGCTGCAATATTGCCGAGATGACGTTAAATTTTATCTCACTCACTTATACCACTGACTTCGCTTATTCTTAACCTGCAGTAGACTGTGGCATGACGTCAGGACAACGTGCCCACACATGCCATCTCTGAAAACGATTTCGAAGAGTCTGGGCTATATTGTGTTACACCACTTCCTTCTTGCAACTGGTTTCTCATCTGAGTTTTAGTTCACAAACATTTTATTAATGCCATCGTTCTGACCAATCATGTGGCCAGATCGCCGTCGACCATCAGCGCCAGCTGCTTGTCTGTATCACAATCGGGCATCAGGCCCATGATCTGCTAATTACGAACTCGGAAATATTCTTGGACAGCAGTATTTTGACATACTCCATGTTCAGCCAACTGCAAGCGGTTCATGATCAATAGTGCTGCTTCTTTGATGATTTCTTGATGTTTGGCAAGGTTTTTTGTTTTTTGTTTGTTTTTGTTGTTTTTGTGAACGTAGTAGGTGACAAGTGTCTGTTCCTGTATGTGAACAAAACAAGTCAAATACCCTACTTTTGGATGGTGATCTACAAAACAGGTCATCAGAAGCCAAATACCCTACTTTTGGATAGTGCTCTACACAATAGGTCATCAAAAGACAAATAGCCTACTTTTGGATAGTGCTCTACACAACAGGTCATTAGAAGCCAAATACCCTACTTTTGGATAGTGCTCTACACAACAGGTCATTAAAAGACAAATACCCTACTTTTGGATAGTGCTCTACACAACAGGTCATTAAAAGACAAATACCCTACTTCCGGATAGTGTTCTACACAACAGGTCATTAGAAGAGACTTTCATGAAACGTTCAACATCATATTTTGGCTTACCTGGCTTCCGGTCCGTTGGTATCAGTACATCATTCCTGGAAGATATGTTGTCGCTCATAGCTTCACCTCGATCTGTAGGAATAAACGGAGTGAGAATCGAGATTACTGAATGAGAATACCACTTAGATACGTTTCGAAACAGTGACATAAACCGAGATAGGTACGTTTTGAGTTCTAAGACAAACAAGATATTTCTGAAAATATAGAATTCACACGTGACCTATTTACATGTGATTAAACCGATTTGCCGCCGTACAGCTGGACTAGCTCTGAATGCGGCGGAGTTAAAATATAAACAAACTAGTAGAACACAGGTTTTTTACATACGTATGTTCAGGTTATCCAGCTGCAGTTCCAGTTGCCCTAGTTCTTGTTCCTCCATCCGTTTAAACAGAGAGGGCGGTATGTCGTCTATGTTACCTATGAAGAAACCAGAATAAAGTCAATGGTTGCCTTACTATGCAAGTGTATGGTTTTCTGACAGCGTGATGGTAGTGCCAACCCCACCGTTATGATCTTCAATCACTCACTGCAATCCAGATGTATACATCGTAAAGTCACACAAGTTCGATCGTCATGTTACTTCGATCGCCCATTTTGAATGGTAATTGTCGCAATACGTAGCGATAACTTACGATGTCTGCAGCTTTGATCTTCTGGGGACACCACTTTCATTCGTTTGAACCGGAAAATGTTTGGTGTCAAGTTACCAAATATAAGTTTTAGCTCATTTTCAGCAAACAACTATTTTTTAACCCTAGATCAATAATGTAACTTTATCAGCTCAAATAAAATGTAAACAGTATAAATTTCACACGTTGTAAATTGACAGCACCCCTGTCTTCTGTTTGTTTACGTTGCTGCTCTAATTGTGACATGTCCAGACACGTGATATCCTTGTCAAAATTTAAAACTTTGGAAACAAGTAAGGGCCATTTCTTATAGAAAACTTAAATGCTTTTTGAGAAATTCCGTGAATTTGTACCTGATGAAGTTCGAGCTATTGCCTCATTGATAAATACAACCTTGGCACAATGCACCCACGCTACATGTCAGCACAGAACACATTTACGTTTCTGCCAGCCAGTTCGTGGTGTTTGTGGACATTCTGAGGTTTGGTGCCCCTGTCACGATGAGCCTGAAGAATAACTCCTGCATAATACTTGTATATAAGCTGAATATTTGTGACTTTTCATCGTTTTTAGAAGTATTGAAACATAAAATGAACGTTTCATGGACATAAATACCATAAAATTACTTGGGACTGCTCTAGCTCTGAATTTGACACACGAGATCGTCCTTACAAGTCATCCTGTTTACGCGACAAGCCAGCCAATCATATGTTCGAACTTATGTGACGTAGCTTTCTGGTTCACTTGTGTTGACAGTGAGAGGGCGGCCTTGCCGCGATTGTGAAGAGCAGTACAAATACCGGGATTTTGAAAATGTTTGACATAAATAAACAAGTTTAGAGGTAAGAGATTTGAAAATAAGATTATATGAATATAACTTTGAAAATTCAGTGACAGTTCTTAAGTGATCGAACTTACATGACACAAGGGTACAGTGCGGATTGATGTGGAAATGCCGTTCTCGTGGTAATTTGGAGTATTGGAACTTTGGGCTGTGTGGCAGAAACTGACAATGTAGAAAAGGGTTTGCAATGCACTGTTTGAGTGAGTGAGTAACGTTATACGCCGTTTTAGCAATATCACGACGGGGAACACCCGAAATGGACTTCACACATATTACCCATGTGGGGAATCGAACCCAGCGAATGTTTTAACTATTATAGGCTACCCCACTGCCCCTAATCAAACTGAAGTATGCCTTACCTGTTTTGAGGATGTACTCCTCTATTGTCTCTATCCTTGTCTTGAGTCCATGGACGATTTGCTCCAGGGTCCCTACAAACATGATATCACGTGATTCCAACGACACCCACAATTACAACAATAGCTTGATGGGAGAAATTAAAACCATTCCTGTTTTAAAATATGATAGAGCAAACTGTCTTTGCAGTAAACACGCATATGACAAACTGGCCTATATCAAGACAGTATGATGGTCCCGGTCACATGGTTTTTAGTCAAAAAGGTATAACGAACTCAGGTTATGACAAACTAAACTTCATGTTTCCTTGGACTTTGGGTTTGTCATAACTGGAAGTTTACACGTTCGTTTAACAAATGCATAATTACAGACTCGAACATGTTTTTATTTGGTTAATTATGACATATCAATCATTTCGTTATAAACGAAGGGTAAAACCACAACAAAACTGATACACTCGACAGGAACTCTGCAAATGCAGGACGTTTTTGATAAAATAGAAGACACCATATGGGACCTAAAGCATCAAGGTGACACACATAACCCGGCAATAAAGGAAGGATATTTTTTGGATGACAATTTTATTCCGTCATAGTTAAACCGTTCGCTATAGGCTTTTATACCTGAATCAAGCAAGTGTGAAGGATGTTGTTGTTGCTTGAAGTGTGTAAGAGGTCGCCTTCTGCCTCAGCAATTTTGGTTGGCTTGCCCCTCTTTGGGGTTTGTGTGTGTGTGTGGAGTATGGTAGTACTAATCTAATATTGAAAAACAAAACCACCTTTAGGGTTTGCATTAAAGAGATTAGCAACAAGTTGATACAGCATCGAGTTAGAGTAAGCTAATTGTAAATGTCAGGGCTGCAGATATGGGCCGTATCGGCGTATGTACGGAGACAAACTATGCACTGTACGGTAGTAAATAATTTAGAAAACGTAGCACATACGCACCACAGCATTGATGTACGGTCTTAGAATCATTTACTGACGTATTTATCTGAAAATGTATTGTATTATTGTTTATTGACCTGTTTACACAAGAGTAGCAATGTTGTGGTGCATATATGAAACGAAACACAAGATTACTGATCCGCCATTAATTTCCATTCAATACTCTAAATCGATCCTTAAGCTTTTCCCGTACTCCTATATTGAAAAAATACGGAGTACATACTCCTGATTTTGAAAAAAATATCTGGATTCCTGAATGTCATTCACACTCACGCACGCACGCACTCTTTCATTCACTCACTCACATATTTATGCAACATTTGTTACCTGATGAGTATTCAGATGTCCATCCAACAGGCAACATTCCCAGCAAACAGATGAAGTAGATCATTTCTGGTAACTGGGCGCTTCTCATACTACAGTTCCAGAGGTAAGACTGACCGCAGCTTCAGAGTCTCGAGTGCTACTGCAGGACGTTCCCACACGGCGCCAGTTTTATAGCCAGCATACATGTAGCGTGAATACTGGCTTTAAAACCTACACTACGTCATGGCTTAGAGATCTTATCTGAAGGTGTATTAGAAATTAAAATTCCGAGGATTTTCCCACGCGTGTGAGTTGTACACAACCGTTATGCTCTTTCAAAGCTTTTGTAGTGAAAAGATTGTTAACAGTGTCGACTGTGCATGTTTCACGCAACAACCTTGATAGTAGAGCTGGATCATGGTTTTATTGCATTCATTTTACAAGTTGCATTGTAGTATTGGATGGCGTGTGTTTCCAGTTGTGTTCCAAGAGGGAAATGAACAACACGTGTCACTTCTTGATTTAAAGGTTCGAAACGTGTCTGATAACAAGGCAGTAAATTAAGTAGACTTCAAAGCGAAGGATTTGTGTCAGGGCTGCTGTTCTTCTCAACACCGAACATATCTATCTATCTATCTATCTATCTATCTATCTATCTATCTATCGATCTATCTATCTATCTATCGATATGGCTCGTCATTTGACTGACAATGAAATATATACTAATACGAACATACAATGACATTTACAAACTGGTCAGATGTAAGATATGTTATTGTTCGGATTATACTACCACAGTCAAGTTGATATTCTTGTACTTTTTAGGTACTGAATCGCATCCCTGATTCCAACACACACAGTCAGAATCAGGCACATAATCGCGAGCAAACAAAGTCAGAGATCCAACCCACTCTGTTGTGTTGATGGGTCCCTTTACTTGGATGATGTCAATATTTCATACCGTGGTAAGAATATGCACACATTAGAAAGGCAGCTACAACTCCGCCTTAACCAAATTCAAAAATGGGCCAACGAAAATGGTTTTGAGTTTTCAAAATCCAAAACTAATTGTATGCACTTTTGCCGCAAATACAAACCGCACAAGGCTCCAGACCTATTTTTAGATGGTACTCCAATCAAGGTAGTAGAAGAGGCCAAATTCCTGGGACTCATACTTGAGAGTCTCATGGTATCCCAACCACATAAAATATTTGAAAACAAAGACTTTGAAGGCTCTTGACTTACTAAGGTCGTTTTAAATACTGAGTGGGGAGGGGATCAGACTACCCTCCTTCCCCTGTACAGATCATTGGTTCGCTCCAAACTAGATTATGGCTCCAACAGGAATACATCCATTTACGTTCCAAGTACAACACTCATTTATCCATTTTTACAGACGGATCCAAAGATGATGGCCACGTTGTAGTGGCACAGTCATGGGATCAAAGACTGTCTCCTCCAGAATTCCCAACAATAGCTCCATAGAAGCTATTGTCACGGCATTAAACAACAAAATCATTCCAAATCGTTTTTACCTATTCATTATCTTGCCTTCAGTCATTTCAAAATGATATTTCAAGTCACCCTATCATTCTGGACATTGGAACTTTACAACGACCTTTCTAATCAACAAAGTGGCGTCGTCCTCTACTGGTTACCAGGTCTTGTCATATCGGGCAATACGAAAGTCGATGCTGCAGCTAAATCAAACCCCTATCAAAAGTTATACTCGGGGCCTTATGTCAAAAAGGTTGGGACACCCAAGTAGGACAAAAATAAACTTCATGAATTGAAACGAACAGTTTTTATACCTACGAATGATGTCAGTCAAGACGGGATGAGGAAATATTACGTCGATGTCGTATTGGCCATGGTCGGTTTACTCAAGACTATCTGCTGAAATCGGATGGTGATGGACCTCCTATGTGTATATCATGCGACTCAGTGTTCACCGTCAAGTATATTATGCTTGACTGTGTGCACTTTTCAAATGCAAGGGGTTCATACTACGAGGCGATAAACCTGAAAGATCTACTTTCCCCAGTCAGCAGACATCTCATTGTTAACTACTTGAGGGAAGTTAAACTGTATCATAAATTGTAACTGTGTAATGTGGATGGCGGATTGCTTGTTTTTAAATTTGTTGCTATGACATTTTCTATTTGTAAATAGTAATGAAATACATCAATATGTTTTTTTAAGATAGTCATTTAAACGTTGTACCGAAAATGTATGTATGCAGACTTGGTCTCGTTGCCATATGGCTGAAATAGTGATGCAACGTAAAACTCAACTCAAATAATAATTGGATTTGCTGAAAGTTTTAGAAATAAGAAATATGTTTCCATCCAAACTGTCGGCGACAATGTGATAGTGTAGTTTTAAGAATCTTATTAACCAGATGGTTCGAAATGCGTAATTGCCTACTATTTAAGGACAAAATATATGCAAAATTGATATTTTTAGATTTACACAGTTTAAAAGAAACTAATACCTATTGTCTAGATTTTTTTGTCCTCCTCCGTCTGTCGAAACGAATAAATCCCGATCTGTCTCCCACAAAGGCATATCTCACTGAAAGATATATCTTAAAACATTTCCAATTCTTGCCATTTTAAGCACTTAAACCACTTAACGTTTTGGCTTCATGAAGTTGACACTACAAATATAGAGCAGGACTAGATAGAAAGATATCAATAGATAGATCTGATAGGACTGATAGAAGATCAGCAAGACAATTTCATGTTTTGTTTTGGAAATACTACAAATGTAAGAAAAAGTACCCTGGCCAGGTTTTGACCATATTTATCCCCGATTTACTGTTTGAAGCAGTAATGTCAACACAAATTAGTTATTTTCAATGAGATAATATTCCTTCTTATTCACTTAACGCGGTAGTCTGCATGAAAACGATTCTTTTTTGCTTTTCTGCCTGAGGATGTCACTGTATGAGAAAGTGAATTTACCTTTACGGCGCAGGACACCAGGTGTGGTTTTACACATTTCACCCATATGGGGAATTGAACCTTGGTCTCCAACGTGACGGCTACCCCACTGACCGAATAAGTCACGAATGCCATAACTACAAGTGTCTCATACAGTATTGGTATAACCCTAGATCCATTTCAGTGATTATTGCAGACAGATCCGCGAGGTTTACACAAATATTTAGAAATAAGTGTTATCTCCATGCAAAAAATAGTAAAATGGTTCACTCTTTTATTCTGGCTGAGCAAATTAGAATTTTAAATCACATCAGCTGCAGATCGCCAACAACTGAAGGTTGATCACCCTACTAGAGACCAATGGGACTTACAGTGCATTTGCTACTTCCATGAACCCTTGCTGGATTTACATCATCCCTTCAGCCGTTGGCGATTGTAGTCAAATCTAGCCATAATTTAAAATTACAAAAATGCTACGTTTTAAAAATCTGGCAAGTTTAAATTAACAGGATGCTTTGGGGACTTACATATCCTCTCAGGGGGGCCATAACTGTACAGTACTTCAACCCCATTTGAGGATACAGCCACAAACAATCTCAGTTGCTGATATAAACTATACCAATTGTACAAATACATCTACAAAACAGACAATCGATTTTTTTCAATCAAGTCAACTTCTTTTAAAACATCAATAATTAAATGGTAGTTAACATAACAGAAAGATCCTTAATTGTTTTGCCACGGCAATATTTATCCTTTGTGAAGGAAAAGTCAATACAGTCACGCAGGACATGCCTGACCGTGATTCTTTCATCACAAGGGATGCAAAATGGAGGATCCTCACCTTTTAAACAAATACTCATGAGTATATCTAGTATGGCAAATACGACACGGTCGCAAGATGACCTCCTCAAATCTGAACTGACAACCCAAGTAGGTGTAACCGATAGCTGGCTTTATTTGATGTAATTTATTGATCCCTACTTGGGTGTCCCACTTCTTTTGCATCAGACCACAGATATAAGAGCCAATAGTAGCTTTGTAATCAGAGTAAGGAATAAGATGTGGTGTCACAGATTTGTTGAGGGCTGCTTTAGCAGCAAAATCAGCCATTGTGCTTGGTAACCAACAAAATACGATGTCGCATTGGCCAGATGCAAGTTCATTATATAATTCAATAAGTTTAATTAAAAGTGAATGTTTAACGGATATGAATGAGTGAGTTAAGTCACATACAATTTATGATAAAGACCATTTTTTCTGAAGTAGTTTACAGTGAGATGTTCGCTTACGCTGGTAAACAGATCTTCAACTTTTTTGCTGCATAATGTGAATCTCTTGCATTTGAAAAGTCTTCCAAAACTGGTAAGACGTATTCGAATCTGCAATCTCAAAACGACGAAAGCCCTCTTAAGAGGCCATATGTCCCAAGCTATACCTAAATCTACTTGCATTTAAACGCCTTTTCAGAAATACGAGGAAGAGAGTTCAGATACCTGTCTCCTGCTGTACACGACGTGTCCTGAGGAGCAACCAACACATAGGATAATTTGGAAAACACTGACTATGAATGAAAATTCTTTAAAACCCTTGTGTATGCAGATTCCTCGTTAGGCAAAATGTTTCTAATAGAAAGGCTTTTCTCAGAACATGAATCTTGTATCTGCTGAAGGTTGAGTCTTCTACCAAGTTGATATTACAATGAAAATGCCCAAAATATAGCCTTAGACATTTAGAAGTGATACACAGCAAGGGTCCATTTAAATCTTTTTACGTTTCAGTAGAATATTGTGAATGCTGTATACTCAATATACCTCTGTTAACATGGATGAAATAAACTTTGATTCAGTACGAAACAATCAAAAGTCATTAACTACCAGTACTAACTTACGCCTGAATTAACTCTTATCACTGCTTATACCAATTACAAATAAAGCAATGCCTCAAACGTTCATTGAAAACTGTATAGGATACTTCAGACACAGCTGGCTATTTCAGTAGCACTATCTGATCAATCTTTCAATAGATATCGATCGACGAAGGCCTGCTTTATATCTGTAGTGCCAGTAATCTAAAACCAAATCGTTAAGTAGTTAAGTGCTTTCAAGTTGTAAAATGACCAATCCAGTGCTTTTGGGAAGAAACCTTTAGAGCAAAAACAAATCTACATTTTTGATGGATACATTGTTTTTTCAGATCATTGGAATTCATTCATTGGGACAAAAGCGAAAAGAGAAAGGACATTTTGACATATAATGTAGGTATTTTCTTTCAAATAGTGTCTAATATAAGGCATCAATGCTACTCA